CAAAGAGCACCAGTTTATTAGACGCGTGCTCTTCGTATTACAAATCCGAGCCCTTCGAAATACAAAGGATTTGTTTGTATGCTAAAGGTTTCAAATCCTGTGTACGTTACGAAGAGCAGTTCTTTGTAAGAAACTTACATGCACTGTAAAAAGCTTACGAACTAAATACTTTGCGACGTTACGAACAATTTCCGTTCTTTGTATTGCAAAGAAATTGTTCGTATTGCAAAGCGATTGTTTGTAAGGCTAGACGGGTCTTACGAACAATCGGTTTGCATTACGAACTATTTGTTCGTAAGCTTACGAATAATTAGTTTGTAATACAACGCTTCAAAATCCTTCGTAAGCTACGAACGTTTTGGTTTGCATTACGAACCTACAGTTCGTAAGCAATTTACAGTGTGGTCGAAACTAAAGACCACAATAATCTTAACTCAAATTCCACTTACGCTAGTACGCGCTGTAAGCCAGTCTGTTAAAGGGAATGCGCATTAAATCAACTTTACAGTGTCATTCTTGATGCCTTTGTGGCGCAGCCCCCTTTGTGCCCCCATGAATGCGCCTCTAGCTGCCCTGCTGGCCCGGTGCCTAGCCTAAATGCGCGGGCGATGCGGGGCGGGACGGACAGGAAGGGACCTGCTCGCAGTTGGCGATAGGGTCCTGCCTTCTTTTGGACCACGCTGCCGAACAAAGACAATAATCTGGACAGTTCTTATTTTTTGCCGCACCCGTCGCGCCCACCCTGCCCCGCCGTATCAGACCGGCAGCCGATATGCCATCGCATAAAACTGCTCTCTGCTCTCTGCTCCTCGACGACGCGACGGACGTCCTCGAGGCTGTCATGGCCAGCAGCGGGCCGCCGGGCTTCCGGTGGGGTCCAGGGACACAGAGTGAGGTGGTGACGAGAGCCCGGCGGACTGCTTGACTTGACACCAGCAGGTGTGCACAAATTACGCATCAGGAGGATGAGACAGCTGAGCTGACACAAACTACGGAGGGTGGGCTCTTTTAAGTCGTCCTAGAGATGGTGGTATTCACTTTACTTGAGTAGGTGCGTTTAGGAGACGACACCTTTCCTAGAGAATCGTTTCAATTTCTGAAAACATAAGTCGATCAACCCTGAAAGTGTTTAGAGGACCATGAAAAACCTACACGGTAAAAATAGTTCCTTGATATGGAAGGACCAAGAAACCTATTCAAGGACGGAAGTAGAGAAAAACACATGGGACGTCCTTGAATCGGTGTCTTGGTCCTTGAACATAAAGCTACTGTTTGTACCGTGTACTAATAATCAGCCGGAAATCAGACTGATTTTGTGTACGTCGCAAAATATTTGTTGCCCCCGGGCAAGGCGTTTGGCAGCTGATGCCTCGCCTGCCCTCCACTTGCTCCCAAGTCTTATTGGTTTCGAAGGGAAAGGAAAAGTTTCCCGTCCCGCCGTTGCCGTCAGCGCGGCTGCTGAGTGCTGAGTTCCAGTGCAGATCCGTCTCTCCTGGTGTTTCCCGCAAACTCCTGAAACTGCAGTGCGCAAAACGGTAAAATTCGAGAAAAAAATGATTGTTTTTTTTCACACGGGCTCCCTCTTTTTTCCTCTTTTTGGCAAAATAAACAATTACCCCGGGCGCTGTTCTGCTTGGTCATATAGTCATGTAAACTACTTTTTTTTTTATTTTTGCAAAGAAACATTGAAGAAAAGTTTTGTTTGGCTGTTTGTGGTGCTAGAGTTTACAGGATGGTGCTAGAACTTACATGAGGTACTATTTCTCATATGGTTTCGGGTAATTGTATAAATTAGCACCACCTAGCAACCACAGATAAATGATTTTTTTGAGTCGACTGGATGGCATAATCTATCATGACACGGGTGCCGTTCCTTACGGTTCTCTCGCAGCCTATGAGATAAGAAGAAGAAACACTCGTCGCCACTCGTCGCTGCCGACTACTAACTGTTTGGCGCAAATATGTGGGTAAGTGTCCTTGGCAGCAGCGGGGGGTGCGGGCGCGCAGCGGAGGGGTGCGGGAGGCACCCACAAAGTGTTCTGCAAATAATAGCGAATTACACGGTCTAGGAACATCGGCCGGGGGAGAGAGGGGATACATACGGGTGTGAGGAGGGTGGTGTGTGTCGGGGGAGGGGGAGAGGGGGGGACAAGCGTCAGCGACACTGCTCTGTGATGCTCGGGACGGCGCGATTGAGGGATGGGGGATGGGGACAGAAGTGGAAGTAAAAAATGTAGCAGTGAAATGCGCACACGCTGCAACCGTTACATGCAGACCTTTTAACAAGGTAAAGAAATACGGAGAAATACAATACTTTAGATTAGGAATTACTCAGTAAAGAAAATCACTCAACGGTTCAAGAAACGATCCAGATTTTTAGTTGGTAGCCGTTTATTTTGCATGGTTTGGCACACTAGGGTGTATTTCACAGTACGCTCAAAGGCGGCGGGGATGTTGGCACACAACACGTCTCACAGGGAAGTTGCTAATGGTGGCAGGGGAATTCAACCATCTGCTGGAGCCGCGCCCATCGTCCGGGGGCGACCCGCCCCCAGCAGGCTGGAAGCAAATTGGTAAAGCAGTCTGGAAGAATGCGCTGGAGGCGGCTGGAAGGTGGAGGGAGTCTCAGTGACAGAGCGAGAGAAAGAGAGAATTTAGAG